TGACAATGTGACATAAGTGTGAGTGTGATGACGAGCAAGGGAGCCATCAGCCTGAGAAGGAAAATAAGGAGTGGCATTTGTCTTTGTGCCATAGCTTTCTCCCTGTCAGTAATTTTCAGTTAATTCCTTATCCACAGAACGTTGGTGTTTTGCTCTCTGTTCGCCCCTTACTTGGACTCTCTTCAACAGTTGATGAGCTTCGCACTCATTTTCCTTGTGGTGATTAGACCTAAAAAGCAGCCTTCTTCAAGTGGTGATGAGAGGCCCCAGCATTAACGCTGAAATCTCACAGAAATTGTCAGAAACTGAAGAGACTCTGGCTGGAAAATCTGGGAGTAAAGAAGAAAACTGGAAGAGGAAAGGCAGGGAGGGGAGCAAAGGCTGAGAGGAGAGGTCACTATAAACTAGAAGGAGGAAGAATAGAAGATGGAAGGCAAAGAAAGACAGGAGAGAAAGGAAGAGAGGGGAGGGGAGGGAGGAAGAGGAGAAAGAAGAGAAAAGAGGGAAGAGATGGGAAGAAGGATGGGGAGCTGGAGGAGAGAGAAGGGAGAGGTCACCTTAAGTTAGAGAAGGATAGTTGAGCACATGATAAAGGAGAAGAAAGAGAGGGAAGAAAGCAAAGAAGGGAGGGGAAAGGGAAAGATGGGATAGGTCAGGTTAAACTAGGGAAGTGTCTGAATTAACATTCCATGAAGAGGAGCTGGGTGGATTAAAAATGTATCAGGAACAACTCCATGTTGTAAAACTGCACAGAAACCTTAATTGCTGGTTATTAACACTCTCTGATATAGTCAGCAGCAGGAAGGAAGAGAGGTGGGAAGGAGAGACAGAATAGTTCAGATTAAACTAGAGAAGTGTCTGAGTTAAAACTGTTTTCAAGAACTACAGTTTGGGCCAGGCACAGGTGGCTCACGCCTGTAATCCCAGAATTTTGGGAGGCTGAGGCAGGTGGATCACTTGAGGTCAGGAGTTTGAGATCAGCCTGGCCAACATGGTGAAATCCTGTCTCTACTAAAAGTACAAAAAAATCAGCTGGGCATTTTGGTGCACACCTGTAATCCCAGCTACTGGGGAGGCTGAAGCAGGAGAATCGCTTGAACACGGGAGGCGGAGGTTGCAGTGAGCCAAGATTGTGCTACTGCAGTCCAGCCTGGGTGACAGAGTAAGACTCCGTTTGAAAAAAAAAAAATGCAGTTTTATTCTACTCAGGTATTTGTCCTTATTTACTCAACAAATTGCGGAGTATGCACTCTGGCCCAGTGACTAAGTTTGACCCTATGACAATTTTGTCTTCCTGGAGCTGCTTACCAAAGAGAGGCAAGGTTGAGCCTGTCTGCAGGAATTCATTTCCAAGGCAGGAGGTATGTGCAATGACTGCAGCAAGCATAAGCTCCAAGAGACATCTCACCAGCCCATGACAACCATGCAAGCTTCCCTGACAGGGAGTTGTCAGGTCTGAAAATTGAGGAGTAGGTATCCCTAGACACAGAGGGCGAGCTATGACAGAACAGCCCTGAAGAGGAGCCCCTGCAAAGGGGCAGTGCAGTGACAGGCCATCAGGCCTCAGGAGTGCCCAGAGCATCAGTGAGAGCAAGGACAACAGATTAAGACTGAAAAGTAAATTAAAACCACATTTAAAAGGGCTGGTGTGCCATGTTAAGGACCTGGGACTTACCTTAAGGTCTAAAAAGGTTTTAAACATGGGAGTATCATAACTGTCTTTACATTTTTAAAAGATCATTCTGAAAAACAAGACTGCAAACAAATGCTGAACACTGGTTAATGATATGTATGTTTGAATTACTTAGGAAGACATCAGGTTGCTGATAGCTGCAATCTACTTTGAAATGCATAAAAATAGTAAGACTGATACCTTGATGGAGAAAAGGATAGCTGGCTAAATACATAATAAAGAAAATATAATAAAATGGTAATGGTGAAATCTAAGTGGTGGGCATATGAGAGAGAGTTCACTATAAAATTATCTCAACTTTATGTTTGAAGACTTTCAATATTAAAATACTGATAAAAGAAATAATTATATGAAAAATGTACCTGCATTCTTATGTTTGCAATAGTAAATCAACCTAAGTGTCCATTAACAGATGAATGGATAAAGTAAATATGCTAATATACAATGAAACCCTATTCATCCATACAAAAGAATGAAATCATGTTTTCTGCAGTAACATGGATGGAACTGAAGCCACTATCTTAAGTAAAACAACTCAAACAAAAAGTCAAATACTGCATCTTCTCACTTAAAAGTGGAAGCTAGTTTGAATAATGTGTACACATGGACATGGAATAACAGACGTTAGAGATTTGGAAGGGTGGGAGGGGTGAGGTACAAGAAATTACATAATGAGTACAATGTACGTCGCTCGGGTAATGGGCACACTAAAAGTGCAGACTTCATCACTATGCAATATATCCATGTAAGCAAACTGCACTTGTACCCCTTAAACTTATACAAATTTTTAAAAATACTGAGAAATCACATCATTATCACTGCTACATCGTTAAAGCTCTAGAAAATGATGGGAGATCTAATTTGGAGGTTGTTGCAGTAATTAAGGAAAGAGCCGATCATGGTCCAGACAGTAAGTAAGGGAAGTGAATTCAAAGAGATTTAGAAAGTGAAATCAGCAGCTCTGGCGATGGGATAGACATAGAGAGAAGGATAAATTAATATCCCTGTTTACCTACCCTACCCAGAAACCAGTTAAGAGTTTAGATGAAGATGGTCAATCGGGTTTGGGGTGAGAATTCATGAGACCCACTAAGAACTCTGAATCACTGAAGTCTCCTCCGGCTGGCACTGACATCAGATTCTCACCAGGAGACTCTTGGCTCTAGTTCTTTACTTTCGTAGTCTGTTCTTGAACTCAGTGGGCTTCAGGCCCTGGGATGACCTCAGGATGGGAGAGGGGAGGGAAGTCATCACTGCCCAGCATCCCCAGTGGCCTCAATCCAGAGCTACTTCTGGGTTGCTTCATCCACTGCCCTGCCCTCCTCGTCCTCCCTCGGGGCCCTCTGAAGTCTGCTGTACCTCTTTTTTTGGAAATTTAAGTGTTCTGTTTTGCTATGTGTGTGTGTGTGTTGTGTTTTTTTAGAAAAAAAAAATTGTTTTGAATCAGCTGCTTCAAATGGCTTCATCTACAGTTAGCTTTGATTTATCTGCTTTCAGTTGGAAAACAGATTTCTCTGGAAGACTCAGTCACAATAAGGCAAAAATGAGCTTTGCTCAAGGGTTGCAAGCTGTGTCTGCCGAGAGTAGATGCTGGTCGGCCTGATGGTTCTCTGAAAGGCAGCCCTGCTCGCTGGGTAATTCCTCCCTCCCTCCCTCCACCTGCATCTGTGCTGGCTGCAATTTTAGCTCATTTCCTACAGCTTCGTCCTGGAGATCGTTAGCAAGTCGCCCTTCGTCCTTCTTCCCTCCCTATGAAGTACAGCTACCAGAGGACCTATTTCCATTTCAATAATTATTCATGTCTGGATTCTTGGCTCTGGCACCTCCACAGCCATTTTAAACCCCAAATCTCTTTCCTGGTCAAGACTTGGAGCTTCCTGTATATTCATGAGGAACTGAACAGAACACGAGAGACTGCTTCTCCCTGTGTCAGGCTATAGAGGTGCTGTTACCATGTGGTATCTGACCCTCGAGAGTAGGCTCCAGGCTCTGCTTAAGGTGGGAACATGGGAGGCTGGGTTGAAGCATCACTGTCCTAGAATAAAGCCAACACACACCTCACAATGCATGTACAACCTCATTATAGCATTTAACTTAAAAAAAAAAAAAAGCAGACTTCACCTGAGACCCAGACCAGATCTTCTCTTTTAGTCCTGGAGGTTTCTCCCTCACCTGGTCCTTAAGCATTAGATAGGGAGTTGAGTATACCTGAATTTATAACCCAGCTCTGTGACTCGCCACTGAGCCTCAGTTTCCCCACAGCTAAATCAAGGAGGGTGTTCACACTGGCGGTCTTTTTCAGACATCAGACCCTGTAGACAGCACCAGCCTTGTGCCTGGGTCTTTGTGCTCAGCATTCAGTGGCTATGATTACCCAGGTGTGGAGAATGTCATCTTTCAACATGAGTACGTTCTACACAGCAACTGTGTAGCTGAACACCACAGGATGCATTTTATTTTATTCCATTAAGAAATGCTTTCAGTGTTTTCATTTCCTTAGCATCAATAAAACTTCAGTGATTTCAGCTACTTCTCTTTCAGAGAGAGAGAACATATTACAAAAACAAAGAAATATACTCCTTTTCCAGCATTTTTATCATCTTTGGGACTCTCCCAAAAATCCTATCCAAGTTTCCAGTTTCTCCTTAGCTGAAAAGCATAGTCTTGCAAATACTATCACTGCTGAGAACACTTTCAGACTATTTCACAGGACAACGATTCCTATGTGCTAAGGGCAGCTGTTTGGTGGGTTATGCAGGGACTTTCTTTGCTTTGTTCGTATGTTTAAATTCTTGGGTCTCCAAAGCCACACTTTGTCTCTGCATCCTACCTGCTGGATCTGCTCTCTAGTAGGGACCCTCGCTCCTGTGGGCTGTGTGAGGACCCTGTCAGAAAAGCCACCAGGTAACTGAGCTGATGCTTGGCTAACAGTGAAGGGGCAGGTAGAGCTACGGAACAGAACACAGGAGGGTGGTGCAGAGAGAGTCTTCAGAGGACAAACGATAAAAGATAAATAATATAAAAAGATAAAAGAATGAACAATAAAACCATAAGACTTCCTCTGTCCCAGGCACAATGCCAAGTGTTGTTTGTTTGTTTGTTTCCATGAACTTTCTCTTCACTTTTCCCAATCCCATAATAAAAACTTCCTTTACAGAGGGGGAAACTTACAGAGAGTTTGAGTCATTTTCTCCAGGGCAGCCAGCCAGTGAGTAGCTGAGCTGAGAGCTCAACGCAGCAACGTATTGAAGAGCCCCGGATCTTGCCTCGAGGGGGGTCTTTGTTTCTCTGAGGAAGCACGCTCCGCTCCGCCAGAACCCACAGGAGGCCTGCAGAGCTGGGTGAGACAGACGCCATTTAATGGGAGTCACGTGGAGTTCTCTTCCTGCACCTGAACCTAGTAGAAACCAGTCTGGGTAATAAGTGGGCGGGACATGGAACTCCTCAGCCTCACAGTCTCAGGGGTAGGAGGGAGCAGGAGCACCTGGAGACTCCTGCCTTGAAAGTGAGTGTGAAGAGGGTGCTGGAAGGGGCAGCATCTCTCCTCCTTTTAGCTAACAGACCTGACCCTTTAAAACTATTTGAGGCCATGGCCGAGTGTGAAACTGGTGCTCTGGAGAGAAACAGCCTTAGATTTAGACTTGAGGATGGGCTCTGAAGAGGGGGCTGGGCTCTTCTTCCCCAGGATGTTTGAGGCTCTTAGCTCAGGGTAGGCTAGAAGTTTCCAATTTCACCATGATGGGCCCAGATCAGGCTCATGCCAGACCTAGGGGAATTGGGGAGCCATGGGCTCCTGGCTCATGAAACTGAGGGGCCCTGTTTCCTAAGCGGCTGGGAGCCTGAGGCCCAGGGCCCCTCTGCCTTTTGCTTTGTTTTGTCTCTCTTTCCTCTACCTCTCATTACCACTACTATCCAGAACAGAGTTAAAAATACAGTACTCAAGGAACACCGAAGGAAGGGCCATCCTCACTCCTGTGGTGGGGATCAGGCTTTGAATGCGGAAGGTTCCTCCTGTCTGACTTGTGCCTGGGCATGCCCCTGGCTCTACTAGGCCAGCAAGGCCTCCAGCACTGTGTCAGGCCTCCAAGGATTATTCGCCTGCCCTGACTTTCCACGATGCTGCCTCCAACAGAAGGTCCTAGGAATAGGAACAGCCGGAGTGTTGCAGTCACTTGAGGAAGATTGAAGCCCATCCTCCTTTTTCAGTGCCTGCTATGATGGAGGGGGTAGAGGGGGGTGTCCTTTCCATGGAGTGTGCAGCATGGGTGTCTCTGCAACAGGCCATGGCATGGTGGTGGCCGCTCCTGCTACAGCTCTGGACAGTCATGCCCACCTGGCCCGGGGACGAGCTGCTCAACATCTGCATGGATGGCAAACACCACAAGGGAAAGCCCAGCCCGGAAGACAAGCTCTACGATGAGGTACAGAGGCCAGACCTGGGGATGGGGCAGGCAACATTGGGGAAGGGACACAAATGCCAAGGTAGTCTCTGGACCTCATCGACCCTGATCATTTGGTTCCTGGGGTTGGGATTTGAGCAACGGCAACTAGAAGGAAAGAGCCTTTTTGAGACCATAGCGCCAAGTGATTTGAAGTTCCCATTTCTGACCACTCCCGCCACTGGGAAAGCAGGGCCAGGTGGGGATCCCAGAGGTCCATTGCTGACCAGCATAGATGAAACAAGCCTTCCTGCCAACACGTCCTGGGGAAGCATATGACTTACGTGACCCCTCCCCAAGTTCTTAAAGGCAATTGCCAGGGATGTGGGGGAAGAACACAGCTGGCATGCGACCCTAGATTCCCCTGGGTCTTGCTGAGGCTCTTCTACCTGTTTTGCCCTAAAATGCTTCTGCTGCCTCTCAGGAGCCGAGAGCCTAGAAGTTGTGTTTCTAGAGGGCTGAAGCAGCCTGTGGAAGAAAAGTCAGTGTGCAGGTGCCTCTGCTTTTTGGGTAAATATTGAGAGATTATCAGGGTTCCTCTTATGTAGGGGCTTACCAGCTAAAGGCATCCCACTTGCTCAGGCCTTCTTCTAAGGGACATTTTCATTCCACCGCCCTTTTTCCCTAAACACTCAGCGATCCTTGCCCCTTATGCCTGGGCCTTTTGTTTCTTCCTCCGGCTTCAGTGCATCCCCTGGAAGGACAATGCCTGCTGCACGTTCAGGACAAGCTGGGAAGCCCACCTAGATGTGTCTCCACTCTACAACTTCAGCCTGTTTCACTGTGGACTGCTGATGCCTGGCTGTCGGAAGCACTTCATCCAGGCCATCTGCTTCTATGAGTGCTCCCCAAACCTGGGGCCCTGGATCCAGCCAGTGGGTAGCCTGGGGTGGGAGGTAGGAGGCAGATCTTGCAAGCCGTGTTATTATGCTAACAGCCAGCACTTCCATCCGATCGTATGCCGATGCCTCCAAGATGCTAGTAAGAACAGGAGGTGTTATCACCCTATGGACAAGAGCAGAGCCAGAGGCCCCTGCTGGAGAACCACATGGGGGAGACTATTCCAACAACAGTGGGATGAGGGGCTACCACCAAGGGAAGCTTGCTGGAGTTAGACGGGCCCAAGTTTCAGTCTCATGTTCTGTACCTACCAGCTGTACAACCCGGGACAAACTGTTAAATCTCTTAACCTCATTGGTATTATTTGTAAAACAGTATTTAGAGACTGTATAAAAGATGACATACATATGGTACCTGGCACAAATACCACTGTAGCTATTAGTAATCTGCGCTTCTCTGCTATTAATGTTCTGATCTCCGGCTATGACTACATGCAGGTGGCCCCAAGTGGGCAGAGAGAGCGAGTTGTGAATGCACCACTGTGCCAGGAGGACTGTGAGGAGTGGTGGGAAGACTGTCGCACGTCTTACACCTGCAAATCCAACTGGCATGGCGGCTGGGACTGGAGTCAGGGTGAGTGGTGCTGACGAGGCCTTGGGTTGAGGGAGCAGGCTCCTTGGTGGCCCCCACAAGGGCGTAGGTGCAAAGGCTAGGGATGAGGGAGTAGCAGGTAAGCTGTGCCTCCCCCATCTCCTGCAGGGAAGAACCGCTGCCCTAAAGGGGCCCAGTGCCTCTCTTTCTCCCATTACTTCCCCACCCCAGCCGACCTGTGTGAGAAGACTTGGAGCAATTCCTTCAAGGCCAGCCCTGAGCGACGGAACAGCGGGCGATGTCTCCAGAAGTGGTTTGAGCCTGCTCAGGGCAACCCCAACGTGGCCGTGGCCCGCCTCTTCGCCAGCCCTGCCCCATCCTGGGAACTGTCCTACGCCCTCATTGTCTGCTCCCTGTTGCTGCCGTTCCTTTCCTGAGAGTCCTTCTTCTCCCACCCTTACTTCTGCACTTCCACCAAATATGGGTCAGGCCAGGCCACGGCCACCTCTTTCCTCAGGTCCTTCCCACCCAGTCCCCAGCCCATGCCACTGCTCCTAGGGAAGGGCCTGAGGAAGGAAGTGACCAGTGAGGCTTCAGCGGCTGGTGCCTGAGCCCTGCACATTTCGTCTGAGGCCCCTTCCACTGCTGTGCTCTGCCTTAGCTGGCCTGGGAGGCAGCTGGGAGCTGGGAGTGCCAAGGTGACTAGCCCCCACCTGCCTTGAGGGATGGGAGCTTTCAAGGGGCTCGAGGATCTTCCCGTCCGGTGCATGCCCACCCCTTTCTGTGACTGCTGATGGTGGCAGCCCTGGCCTCCCGTCCTCCGATGGTGTCTCCAATAAATCAGCAGTTGACCTCTCCTCTATTTGACTTCCTGTCTTAGCTTTATGGGCAGGGCCCCAACATGCACACAGCTGGAGTCAGTTTGCCTGCTGCACCGAAGTCTCAAAGTTAGGTTGTTACTTGCCTAACAATTGTTAACTTCTTAATATCCGCTGCACATCCTCACAACACCTCTCTGATGGGAGTACTTTCAATGCCCCCTTTTTTGCAATAAGTGACACCCCATACAAAGCACCTAAAGGCAGGGTGAGGATGGGGCCACCCGGCACATCAGCTCTGATTTGGCTACCAAAATTGAAGCGGCTACATTGACTGCTTCCAGGGTTCCCTCTTTCTTTTAACCCATTCATTTTACCCCCAGAATCACAGCACATTAGTCTAAAATTTTGGAAACCCAGGTTCTAATATGGCCTTTCTGCTTTCTATGCGACTTTGGGCAACTCCTGTGATCTTCATTAAGACTGCCTTGGTTTCTCTCTCTGCTGAAGGGAATGAGTTAGTTGGATTTAACTTACGAAAAAAAAAGAAAGAAAAAGAAAAAAGCTAGCAACCTCTTTGCCAGGAGATAGTGTATGCTCCTCAGATAGTGTGCCGCGACCTCAAGAAGGAAGCATTAGAATTGAACTGTGGACAGGGCCCTGACCTCACAGCCCGGCTGTAAGTGGACCAGCAGCCGACCTACCCACGCAGCACCTTCCAGAGCCTGGAGCCAGGCAGCTTCCCAGCACTAGATGATGCTTTCCCCACAACCTTTTCTTTGACAAAGAGAAGGTTCTAGCTTGGCTGCACTTGATTTGACTGGTTTTTCTAACAACTGCTCATTCTTGCCAGGCACCAGCCAGCCCCGCTCGTTGGTCAAACTCAGCCTCCATTCCTTCTGCACCAGCCTCACAGCCTCATCTACCAAGCAGACCATGTCTCAGGAGAGGCACTGAAGTCACAAAACCAACGAAGAGTTCTGCCAAGCACGGCCCTCAGTGTCTAGAGTAGAAGACAGATGACAGCTGCAGGGGGACAAAGATGTTCATAGGAAGTCTGAAAGGAGCTGGGTGGGGGTTCCTGAGAAAGCCTCACAAAGGGGTGAGTGAGGCAGGAGCCCCAAAGAAGGAGGGTAGCTCACTGAGAACAGAAGGGAAGTGCTAGTCAGAACCCAGTGAAGACCCCAAGACATGAGCCATATGAAGCGGGACCTTCAATTGCTCTTAAATTAATAGATTGTGATTTCAAAAGTACATGTAAATGTATCAAAAAATCTTTTAAAGAACTTAAGAAATTTAAAATCTCTTAAAAATTGAAAACTGAGGTATCTGTGGCTGTGTGCTTGATAATAAAGCAGAGAGGTGAATGCCCTTTTTAAAGTGTTTATAAAGAATGGCCAAAGGAAGATTAAAATTGGAGTAGGCAAAACAAGAGTAGTCAGGAAGCCCTAATAATTTCATACTTATCGATCACTTACCACGCACCCAGGATCTCTGGGAAGTATATAATATGTGTTGGCTCATTTGATCCTCACAAAAGCCTGGTTATCCTCATTGTATTATAATATTTTCCTCATTTATTATTATTCTCATTTTTCAGATTGGGACAAAAATATAAGTAGGTTTGAAACCAGCTAAGTCTGAACCCACAGTTCCAGCTCACGGGCTTACACTGAACAGCCTGGTCTGTAGTTGAGTGGAACTGAAGTGGATTTGGGAGTGGTTGGAGAGGGGGAGGGATGGCTTGTGGCAAGTCACAGTCAGGAAAGAGACTGAGTTCTACCCCTTCCTGTGATTAGGAGTCATAACCTATGGGTCACATTTGGCAGTTTAAACAGGCTTCCAAATTAACCCACCTGGGGAAGGTCTTGTGATTCATGGTGACATCCTGTCCCTAAGAAAGAATCTTATTATGAGTTTCCAAATTGTTGACATAGTGATTAATGCGTAGCCTACCGACATTGAAATGGGTGCTGATTTATATCTACATATTAAAGTTTTATTGTCTTCCACATAGATATTTTAGCCTGTATGTTGTGATCTGTATCCAATGGCTGTAACCTACTGTACCCTTCAATGAAAAAGGACAACTTTGGTATGAGAAGTCCCCTCCCATCTCCTAAACTTTCCAATGAAAAGCCTTCCCACGTGTAACAGACTCCAGAAGACTTCCAACTTTGTTAATGTGTCTTCCTGGGTCAACATTGACTTCCAATAAATCTTTACAAATTATTTCTGCTTCCAATAAACCTTTACAAATTATTACAAATAGCCTTCATTTTGGTCAACAGGAGGAGTGATGGGTTTTAAGCAATGGAGTAGAACTGTCGGATTTGCAGTTAGATTGAGTGTTTTAATCAGAGTGATCCATGCACATGACTCACACACATAGGCCAAAGGATTTCTAATGCAAAGCAATAGAGTGGCTGCCAGCTCACCTGTTTACCAGGCTCTTACCCAGGGAGCACCCCTTCTAACCATTTCTGGATTCAGCTATGAAAAAGCTACAAAATTTGGCTGACCTTTTCTGCCACACATTCAGACTATCTTTTTTGCTCTCAGCTCTGCTTGAATTTCTCAACATAATCTTCCAATATTTTAAATTCTGGCAATCCACTTCTAATTTCCAGGAGACTTTTTTATTTCCTTGTTTTTCACAGCTTGTTGCTTTTTGATTCATGGATGTAATATCTTCTCAAATCTCACTGAAGATCTAATTAGAATGTTTTTAAGCTTGTTTTGAGTCTCTGAATGACCTGTTTCCTCCAAGGTCAATCTGTTCTGTTTCTTTGATATTCTGCATGCTGCTGGTTCTCTCTGAGTCTGGTGGCTTTGGCTGTCATATTTAGCAGTGAGAAGCTGGGCTGATTTTTATAGTGAGCTAGTACAGGTTTCCTCCATGGTTGTATATAAGGATCTTCATTTCCCCTAAATAGCAGCCATACTGGAGACTTCTGGGTATGTGGGAGGAGCTTGTTGAGAGAAAGACCTTGCTTCAGAGTGTGAAAATTAACAAAGACGACTCAAGTAAGAACAAGCAAAGGCTATATGTTCAGAGCTTGCAAGGGAGTCATCACTGGTATTTTGCCAGAGACTCAAGGCAGGGAGGAGAAGTGGGAAAGATTTAGAGCAGATAAAAGGGAAGGCTTCGGCCAGGTGCTGTGGCTCATGCCTGTAATCCCAGCATTTTGGGAGATTGAGGTGGGCAGATCACCTGAGGTCAGGAGTTTGAAGACCATCCTGGCCAACATAGTGAAACGCTGTCTCTACTAAAAATACAAAAAATTAGCTGGGCGTGGTAGTGGGCACCTGTAAGCCAGCTACTCAGAAGGCTGAGGCAGGAGAATCGCTTGAATCCAGGAGGCAGAGGTTGCAGTGAGCTGAGATTGCACCTCTGCACTCCAGTCTGGGCAACAGTGCGAGACTCCATCTCAAAAAAAAAAAAAAGGATGTCTTTGGATCTACTAGGCTCAGAGGCTGTGTGGGCAGGGGCAAGCTACAGGCAGGCTAACTAGAAATGGCCATCCTATGTGTTTGGTTCAGGGAATATATTTAGCTTTTTCTGATTGGTCCTAAGTTGGAAATGGAGCCAAAAATAAGAAAGCTGGATATTGCTAATAAATTCTTGGCCATGTTGGGTCAATTGTGATAGGGGTTATTCTTTGGCTTCCTGGACTGGATCTTCCTGAAGCCTTTACTGAGTGCAGTTAGTAGGCTGGCTTCTTGGTCTACTTGTGGGTCAGAATCCTGTTTTATATACAGCTACCCATTGTTCGTTTGTAGATTCAGTCTTTCAATTCCAGGGATAAAAATTAGGGAACCTAACAGTTCTTAATCAACCTCTGGCTGTTTGGGACTGTTGCACGGCTGACTGTTTGGCTTCCTGGGCCAGTTGCTAGAGAGTTAGTTCTGATGTCCTACAAGTCTGATTTACAAGATAGTAGGATGGCTTCTGGGCTGGTTACTATAGATAATGGGTTAGAGCTCTGTTGTTATATGTGGTCTGGCCATTGTCCAGCTTGTATATTTAGTCTCTCAAGACCAAGTTAGCAGGTGCTACGTTGGAGTATGGAGCCTTTGCATGCCAGAATAGGAATGGTTCTCTCTAGGATGCTAACAACCATATGTAAAATTTCAGCACTATCCAATTAGCTGGGTGTGGTGGCATGCACCTGCAGTCCCAGCTACTTACAGGGCTGAGGCAGGAGGACTGCTTGAGCCCAGGAGATTGGAGCTGCAATAAGCCAAGATTGTACTACCACACTCTGGCCTGGGAGATAGAGTGAGACCCTGTCTCAATACACAAAAACAAAAGCAACACCCAACTTCAGCACTATCCAGAATTTTATTTAATTTTTTAGAGAAGGTTCTAATACCCTAGGGGCTAAAGTTGGCTTGCCTGAGCACTGGATTTGGGCAGCCAATATGGGGGTGTATAGAGATTTTCTTGCTCTGCCCTCAATGCCTGCCAACTCTGAGCCCAGAGCCTCTCAGAGTTTCTGCCTGATGGATCAGCTCCTTTGTCCACTACCGCTGCTGCTTCCAATTTCTCTGGCCTCATGTTTGCTTTGATGTGCTTTCATGGGCTTCCTGTCTTCTAAATATTTGCTGAAATCTCCAGTTCACTGATTGTTTCCTTCACATGCTCTTGATAGAGGAACATGGAAATAATCATTTTAGTGGAATCCCAGGTATTCACTCCACTCTCTGTAACCAAAAGCTGTAGATGTATTAAAGACTTAATGGTTGTTTTAAGATTAGATGAAAAGAAAGGGAAATGGAAGACAAGAAGGATGAGAACAATGCATAGAATGAATTTGCAGGGAAGAAATGCAATCAGAAGGCAGGTGCTAGAAACCTAATTGTGAGCAACTTTCTG